CATCAATGTCATTTTCAAAACAAAAAAAAGTAAGTCCCTGAATAAGTGCTCATCAAAACTAGAAATAGCCGTGTACACTTAAATCGGCTAATGCATTTGTGGCCTTGTCTCCTAATGCATTATTGATTGTGTGAGCGATCACCAGCTTGGAGGGCTTGGCAATCAAGTCTGCCATGGGAAGGACCCTCTATCTTCTGCACTTTTCTTCTGCTTTTTCAAGGGCCTGCACTGTGCTCTAAAGCAGTGGAGCCTGTAATCCCACATCTTCACGACCCAAGGACCACATTGTTCCAAGGAGTCGACTTGACCCAGTTTCTAGCAACATTATTTATTTGCTTTTTGTCACAGTAGTCCATGAGACCAGTTTAAATATGGTACTGATGGTACTAAAAGGTCTACAATGGAAACAATGTTATCCCATAACCCAGACTAACTTCCAAAGACCAACCACTTCCAACCTCTTTGTTTTGTTTTTTCTGGCACGTAGTTCAGTATTTCCAAACACTGTGCTGCTACTCGTGTTTGCTGGTTAACCAAACCTTCATTGCCTTTCTGCAACAGGAGATGAGCATTCGGTCTCACCCCTCCTACACCTCTCACCTGTTCCCTTATCCTCACTCTCACCTTCCCAGAAAAAGATATATCACAATCTTCACTCCCTTGCTCTCGCCTGCCCAAGTGGTTTCATCACGATTTCGTGCTCACTCGATAGTCCATTTATCCACTTTTATGACTATTGCAAACTTCTTTCTTTTTTTATTAATTTATTTTTGTTACAGATATTTTTCCTGTCTCCTTCATTGACACCCTCCTCTCGATCCCAACCCCCCACCTCACCGTATTGTTGTCTGTCTATTGGTCATGCATACATGCATATAAGTTCTTTGGTTTATCTCTTCTCTCCCTCCCATCCCCCTCCTGTGAAGTTTGTCAGTCTGATCCCTACTTCTATGTCTCTGGGTCTCTTTTATTCATCAGCTTTTGTTCATTATATTCCACAAATAAATGAGATCATGTGGTATTTGTCTTTCTCTGATTGGCTTATTTCACTTAGCATAATACTCTCCAGGTCCCTCCGTGTCATCTCAAAGGATAAGGGATCTTTCTTTCTTACAGCTGCATAGTATTCCATTGTGTATACGTATCATGATTTTTTTATTCACTCATCTATTGATGGACACTTGGGCTGTTTCCAAATCTTAGCAATTATAAATAGTGCTGCTATGAACATAGGGGTGCATATATTCTTTCTGATTGGTGTTTTATGCTTCTTAGGATATATTCCTAGAAGTGGGATCACTGGGCCAAATGGCAGTTCCATTTATAATTTTTTGAGGAAACACCATATTGTTTTCCATAGTAGCTGCACCAGTCTGCATTCCCACCAGCAGTGTACTAGAGTCCCCTTTTCTCCACACCCTCGCCAGCACTTGTTGTTTGACTATTGCAAACTTCTGATTCAGGCATTGCACTGTGATTACATTTCATTCCTTACAAAGGTTTTATATTTCCTCAAATTTAAAATTACCTTTTCATTTTCTTGACTTCCATGAACCTATAATTATTTTTCCCCAAATATTCCCATACAGCTGTCAAATGTCATATTTTCATAATATCCAAACCTCAAAAGCATCAATAAACTTTAAAGTTTGTTCCATTTTATATTCCCAAGTCTACTGTTTTACCTCATCTTGCAGCACCTCTCTAGGGCTATTGCAGAGTTTCATGTGGGCATATTATTTACTTCTCTGTGTCAGCTAGTCTATTGTGCACAGGATCTGACAATTTCCTCTTCCTTGATTATCCCCTCATCTTTCTAAGGCACATCCTTCATTAGCTTTCTAAGAAAGGGTATGTGGGAAGTTAATATTTTGAATCCCTGGAGATCTGAGTATGTGTTTATTCTGCCTTCATACTTATTGGTAATTTGACTGGATATAAAATTCTAAGTTTAAAATTATTTTCTCTCAGAATTTTGAAATTCTACAGAGTTTGAAGGTCCATGACCTTCTAGTTTTCAAGTTGCTACTGGGAAATCCAATCTTCCTCTTTCCTGCTAAACTTATTGCCATTTCTTCGATCACTATCTTCCAAATATATGTTAACTCTCTTCTACTCTTGCTGCTCTTCCCAATAACCTTGCTATTTGGGATTTACACCATTTCTTAATTGATGGACTGTAATTTTAATGGAGTTTTGGTACGAATAGTGTTGAAAATCATGTGGCCAGTCTATCATGTTTACTCAAAGTCCAGTGACATCTTTATGTTCCCAAGAATTTCAACCCGTATAATCCCCTTTGTATATATTTTGACACTATAACTATTAGAAATCCTGGGAGTAGTTAGTATTATTCCCATTTGATGAAGAAACAACTGAGGCTCTAGGAATATTAGTAGTTTTCTTAAGTTTAAAGAGCCAGCATAGGACAGACTGGAGTTTAAATTCATGTTTTTCTCACTCTACAAAGGCATCGGGGTCATGGTCAGTCATGTCTTTGTGATGGAAGCAACTATTAATAGCACATGTTAGACCATAGCTTTCCCATATCCTATTGCATTAAACTCACACCACTGCTGTGATGTGAGTTATTCTTTTGAACTATTGCCTGAGCCACAGCAAACTTTCCTCGTCAATCATTCTTGCTATTCCAGAGTAAAAATTGAAACACCTAAAACCAAATAGTTGCTGATGGTCTGACTCATACAAAACAATAGATTATATTAGAACAGACAAGGAAAACTGAAATTATGGTGTTCAGGTCTGAAGAAAAACATCCTTTAATATATAATGGTGCTATTTCAGAGTCCAACACACAATGAAATAACTTTCTTCTTTGAAGCTTTTACTTACATTTTCACAAAGGGCACAAATAGCATTCCCTAATTCAAAGAAAAAAGTGATTGCTTTCGAAGTCCAGTCTTTGGAAGGCACTGCAGTTTTTCAGCTAAATTGTTCTTCTCAAAAATGAAAAAAAGACTTTCCAACTAGTATTTATGAACAAGCACACATAGCCAGTAATTTATGGTGTGTTTATATATCACTTTGACTTTCTGTGGTTATAACAACAGACATGCTTTGTGTTAAATGAATCCTTTCTGAAAGGTTTTCTCGGGTAATACCTGATGACAGGTTTTTAGGTCCTTACCCAGTCAAAAGTTCACCCATTGTTTTTTCCACTGAATGTCAGGTTTTTGTATCTATTATTTTATCATCTTATTATCCTCAAGTACATCTTCATGTAGGTTCAGCAACCCAAATAAAGGGAGAAAACATTTGGGTCAAGCAGTGAAAGAGTGAAACCAGGCAGGACCTTCTCTGATCTGGGGCAAATCATTCTACTGCTTTGACCCTCAGGCTGCTTATCTGTAAAGTGATGCCATATGTATATATGATTTCAAGTCCTTTTTCAGCTCTTGAATGTCATCTCTAAACCATGAATAAATCAACCTCAATTTATTATCTAAATCAGGCACCACTGTCTCAGTATATGTGTGACCATGGAAGGATTTGTTTATTAATTTATTTGATACATTGATCATCATACTCAGAGCTGGTTATACAGTGACAAATAAACTTAGCCTCATTGCGTTCATAGTCCAGAGGAAAGGGCAGACAAAAATAAATGCTCAAATAAATCATTGTGACTTTAAAAACACTGTGACAGAGTGCTGTGAGAAAGAATAATAGGAAAAAGATAATTTAGGCAGTGGAAGGGAAGGTTCCAAGAAAGCTTCATTGAAGAAATGACACGTGATTTGAAGCATGAGGAGTAGCAAGACAAGTGAAGAGTGATAGAAACGGCATTCCAGGCTTACAGGGCAGCATGTACTCAGACCCTGAGACATGAAAGAGCTTGTGCTTTCAAAGAACCTGAAGAAAATCATGTGTTAGAGCACACTGAACAAGAAGGTTTGGCCTGAGATAAAGTTAGAAGTAGGTTCCCACCAAAACTTTGCCACCATGGTGAGCATTTTATGTAACATCAGGAAGGCAAAGAGAACCTATGAAAGACAGTTAAACAAGAGAAGCAGGTGATTCAAACACATTTTTAAAAGATTAGTCTGGTCACTCTACAAAGATTGGAGGAAGGCTAAAAATAGATAAAGCCAGTTCACTTGAGGATTAGTCCAGACAAGGGATAAAGGTGGTTTAGATGAGGAGGCAATGGTGCAGAAGATGGTGGAATGTACATATCTTGAGATAAACTAACTTGGCATCTATAGACAACGGTGATACACAATGGGCTCTCTGTTCCCCCTTTACTGGTCATTTTTCTGAGCATTTACCCAATAATTCAGAGTCGGTGATAGGAATTTGGGTAAAAATGTGCAAAATTTCTGCCCTGGACAGTTTGGCTCAGCAGTTAAAGAGGGTCGACCCACCAACTGAAGAGTTGCGGGTTTGATTCTCAGTCAAGGACTCCTACCTGGATTGAGGGTTCAACCCCAGCCCCAGTCGGGGTCATGCAGGAGGCAACCAATCAATGTGTCTCTCTCACATCAATGTCTCTCTCTCTCTGTCTCTCTCTCTCTCTCTCCACCCATCCCCCCTTCCATTCTATCTAAAAATAAGTGGAAAAATATCCTTGGTGACTTTTAATACAATAAATAACTAAATATGCAAAATTTCAGGACTCATACCTACAGCAGGGCATACAGAAGAGCAGAAACAGAGGACCTATACAAAGAGCAAAGAAAGTGGAATTTGCCAGCTTGAATTGAGAGACCAATGAAAGTAGAGGCAGCTAGGATTTTTCTGGAGTAATGAATAGAAAAGGAGGGGGTGGAGAACCAAAGCTGATACCTCAGGTAGAAAGTGTGGGAGAAGGTAAAAGAATCTAACGTAATATTTTGCCCCTTTTGAAAGGTTCATGCAAAAGTCATAGAAAAAAAGAATTTCCTGGGTTATGGAAGTGATCACTGTTTCTAGTGATTTCAGACTAGTCACCAGCAAAGTGTGACTAGTATCCTAACCAAAGCTTACTGTATGTCTGACAGGAACAAACGCTAAGCATGGACTGCGCTGCAAAGCCTGCAAGATGAGCATCCACCACAAGTGCATGGATGGCCTAGCACCCCAGCGGTGCATGGGCAAGCTGGTAAGGGCTTGCCCCCATGAGATCACTCCATTTAACCTCCTTCCCTGCAGCACCCTTGAGAACTGGAGCCTACGAAGGCAGCCTCAGAATCCCTGGCCTGCCAACTTGGCTTCCTAGTTGGCAAAGAGCAGAGGAGCTTCAGCCTAAAAGATGGGTGTTCCACGTGGTGACTGACTTGTCCCCAGCTTTAGCACTGGACGTCCCACATGCTAGGACTCTCCAGGTTTTAAAAGTTCGAGTCAAGCACCCTAAGAACCATATTCCAGCTCTAGGCAAACTAGGGTGGTTGGATTGATCACTCTAGTACTTAATTGGCTGACTGCTCAGTAGATATCATGAGTGGGATAGGGATTAGCCACCTCCAAAAGTGGAGAGAGTAATAAAATTCTTCAGCACTTTAATAGAATAATGGGGCCAAACCAAGGGAGGCTGGGTAACCCTGGCCCGTTCTGGGCTGATTATACTGTCTCAGGAACATAGGCTTCAGTATTGGTGCCTCACACCATTAAAAAGCAACCCGACGAGATTTCAAAACTAAGATGGCCAAAGAATTGTAGAAGGAACCAAAAATTTCTACCCTAGAGATACTTAGGGCATGACAGCTGTCTTCAAGTAAATAAATAAGACACATCACCCAGAAGAGGGATTCTATTATCCTCTGTGGCTCCAGAACAAAAAGACTTAGGTCAGTAGGTATCAAGTCTTAAAATGAGAGATAAAGTCATCAAAGACCTACACCCATCACTGGCAATGTCCAAACAAAGGAAGCTACTGTTGCCAAGAACATTGGAGAGGACTATGAAATTCTAGTAGATGCTGGGCCACTAAGTTTTCTCTCAATATTGGGATATAGTAAGTTGAGGTTCTTGAGAGTTCATCAACTTACTCTGATTGACAATGTTCTCTTCTCTGAAACCCTACCTCACCTGTTCCCCTCTTCCTCCTCCAATGGCGATTCCCACAAGCCAAGGCACAGACCATGGATGAGAGGTCAGAAAAACAGAATGGGCTCTAGAACACAAAGCAAATGGTTCTGGGTAGAGTTCATCAGACATACAAAGGCCTTTAAGCTGATCTATGAGATCTGATTTTCTATTCCCAGGCCTTTTATGATTTTAACAAATCACAATACAGTAATAAGCTGTGGTGGAATGAGGCACAATGGTCCATTTGTATCTGGGAGATAACGAGGAGCCCTGACCTGCAGGAGCCTGCAGAGAAGGGAGAAGCAGAATGAGGAAGGGCAGGGCTGGGGTTTGCTTTCTGGATGGAGTGTGACTTGCCTATTGCCACCCTCCAGAGGTAAACTATAGGACGAGTCAGCATCTTAAAGGGAGACAAGGAGGTGCCCCTAGAAAAACCAACTGATTTGATTTTTAGAGTTCTTATGCAGTTTTCTGCATCCTATCAGTGACATTAAGTCCTTCTCTTTCTCATTCTCTCCCCAGCCAAAGGGGTTTCGGCGTTACTACAGCTCCCCCTTGCTCACTCATGAACAGTTTGGATGCATTAAAGAAGTTATGCCCATTGGTGAGTTGGGACTGGATGGGCTGAGTCAGGTTTTGAGCAGCAGTGTCAGCATTCATGGCTGCTGTTCTCCCAGGACTGCAAAAACCCATGGATTGTGTTTGTGCATTTGTTTCGTGGCCGATGGGATTATGATTGTGTGTGTATTTTGCTGGAAGGGAAACATAAGATGGACCAAATTCTGCAGGAACATTCATCCTCTCCTTGATGAAGCTTGTACAACACTCAAGTCCCAAAGGCTGCTAATATGCTATCCACCTGTCAGCAGCGTGGTGGAGTAGAAAGAGAAATCCCACTGACCTGGTTCGAAGCCCAGCTTCCCTGCTGATCAGTGTGTGTGTGAATGAGCCACCCAACCTGTCAAACCCTATAAAATGAGAACAGTAATGACTGTTTTTCATAATTGTTGTAAAAAATAAATATAAATTATAGACCAATGCTGGGAAAGAACTCAGTGAATACCAGTTATTCTTTAATGAGGACCAAAAAAAAAAAAATGCCTTACATTTATAGATATTTCTGGCCTGAATTTATTCTTTAACAACGTTGTTCAGTGTACTTTTATTTTTCCTCTCACTTTCAAAATCTCTACATCAATGTTTGTTTGCCTTTGGGCAGGAGGGGAGCAAGTTTTAAACTAGAAATGTATAAACTAAAATGTTTTGCATTACAATTCATGAAGCCTGGGAATATCTAATTATTTCAGAAACACTTGCTTCCTACTGCAAACTTTGTGTCTCAAGGCTTCATACCTGGGAGACCCTCGCCTTGCACTAGAGGAAGTAAAGCTGATCTCTGAGAAGAAGCTTAAAATTGGGGTCCTGGGGATGGATAACAAAAGAGGAAAACCAATCCATCAGGAAGCATTTGGGAACAGAGGGTGCTGGGTGCAGTGGAGGGGCCTGACAAAAGGGCACATGTCAGGGGCGGGGCATATATGTGAGTAAAGCTTGACCACAAGAGCCCCATTTTCCCAGGGGGTAGTGGGTCTGCTGCTGAGACCCTGCTCCTCAGGTGCATGTGGTAGATGACGCGTGATGCAACCCAGGATGTGTGATGTGTGATGCAAACCAGGATGTGTGATAGGTGATTGGCTACATTCTGGACCCTGAGTTGAGGAAACCTTTCTCTCAGACGAGCCCTCTCTTCTCTTGCAGCCTGTGGCAATAAGGTGGACCCTGTCTACGAGGCCCTACGCTTCGGCACCTCCCTGGCTCAGAGGACGAAGAAGAGCAGCTCTGGCAGTGGGTCTGATTCACCTCACAGAACCTCGGTAATTGTCCTCTTGGTGCTCTTGGGAAGGGTGGGGCTCAGGCACTGCAGTGTGAGGGGTTCCACCTCAGTGCATCATGAGGGCAGACCTGCTGGGAATCAGCAGCCTTCAAAGGGAAACCCAAAGGGCTTTGGACAACTAAAGATTAACTTTCTCTTGCCAACAGCCAGGAATTATTTAACTTTCCCCCTCAGAGACCTCGCTCTTGGCTTCTTGCTCCTTGATTCCCTCTTCCATCGATCCCTCTCCATCACCCTCCTACCAATGTTAGATGACATGTCAGTCAACACAGAAAGGTTTGACTCAAACAATGAGCAGGAGCAGGGAGTCCCAGCAGTGCCCAGTTCTCCCTCCAGCTACTTCCCAGTTCAACAATACAGCCATTTCTCACATTTCCTCAGTCCTGTCTCTCAAGGCAAACTATATCCTTGGTCTCACACAAAAACCACCCTCCCCAGAGGTACTTGACCTGTGACTTAGTGAGGCTTCTATCCATGGGACACTCAACCCTCCCAAGCACCTCTCCTATGTTTTACCTGACTAAAATGATTGCTCCATGCATGTCTATGACCTGCTATCACCATCCTGTGTCTGGAGGTCCCAACCAGAATTTCTGTAAATGCCCCCAAAGTGCCACACAACTCTACAGCTCACGCTGAAAGCTACAAACTCTTCTGCAAAAGGACAAGGACCTTCCGATTCACATTTCCAGTTAGGATAGCTTGCACACAATTCTGGGTTGCAGCCTCTGCTGGACTGGGGACTTTCAGGCAAGACACAGATAAGCCTTCAAAGGGTCTGCCCCACGGGGTCCTCTCAGCATGTAGAGATTAAGGTGGGTTGTGAGAGAAGGGCAAGCAGACCCCTGGAGAGGTTCTCGGGGGCGGAATGGAAGCAGCTCCCTCACTGGGTGCGGGTCAGTTTGCAAGATAACGGATTGCAGTCTGTGGTGGGTATGCAGGTCAAGTGGGTGAGTAAGTAGGTCTGTAGGTCCTCTGACCGACGCCACTAGGGTATCCCAGAAGCCATCTTTAAACTTACAGTAAGCCCTGCTCTTCATATATCCCACTAACACCTAAGAGGGAAAAACCAAAAATTATTCTTACACTTCTATATTAATTCGTTCTTTCTTTTACTACTCAGTTATTAGATGTGAATTAAGTACTTACAACTAGTACCAATGTACAGGACCCAAAAGTAGTGGAGGACAGATGGTGGGTTCTGGTCAAGTTGGTGGCATAGGTAAATGCACTACTCGAACCTCCCACAACCATATCAAAATTACAGCTACAGAACCACCATCATTCAGCTTAAATATAGCTAAACAGAAGTCCTATAACTAAAGATCTAAAGAAGAAACCACATCAAAATTGCTAGGAGAGATACAGAAAGGGCTAGTTCCACACCCACATGTAATTGTTAAAAATCAGGAGGGAATATCATGGATGCAGAGTTTCCACCTGAGTAGCAAGAGGACTAAGCCCAATACCAGGTCCCCCAGCCCAGGATTCCAGGACTGGGAAAAGAAGTTTCCATAACTTATGACTGTGCAAATCAGCAGGGATTGTGGCTGAGCGAGACAGAGGGCTCTAGAGTCCCAGGCGTGCCTCTTAAAGGGCCCACACATGGACTTACCTGAATTCATTGCTCTAAGCTACCGCACTGGGGCAGCAGCTCAAAAGGCACCAGGGACATCTGGGGAGTAGATGAATTGTCTGGCATCATGATGAGGACCAGAGGGGCAGCTTTCTCCCAGAGAGAAGTGGTGGCAGAGGCCATTGTTCCTTTGCTGAGCCCTCTCCCCACAGGGCCAGCAGGTGGGCTCCAAATCTGAGTCTCCATCAACCTGGCTAACACAGGTAGCCTAGTGATTTCCTGAGCCCCTGCCCCACCCAACTGCAAGCCCACCCAAGTTGTTTCCAGGGGCTTTTCTATAAAATGGCCTGTCTTGACTTAGGCCAGTGGTTCTTAACCTTCCTAATGCCGCGACCCTTTAATACAGTTCCTCATGTTGTTTGTGGGCGTATCTGCATGTGGACGGACCCGCCCAGGGACGGATAGAGGAGCGGTGTCTCGGTTCCTAAGACCATCGGAAATATGTGTTTTCCGATGGTCTTAGGTGACCCCTGTGAAAGGGTCATTCGGCCCCCAAAGGGGTCGTGACCCACAGGTTGAGAACCACTGGCTTAGGCTTTGGACCTGCCTAAATCTCTCAAACAAGCAGCATCTGGCTTTGGTGTGTCCTGTACCTCTCACCAAGTGGCCTCAAGCCCAGCACTAGCAGCAGCTGGCCTTAGTTCACACCTTGGCCTCTCCCAGGCACCTCCAATCCCAGTACAAGTGGCAGCCTTCTCTATATTGCCTTATAGCTCATACAGGGTGGCCCTGGAGAGGGCACAGGTGGCAGCCGACCTTGGCCTACACTCCCAGGAGGCCTCAGAGTCAACATACCTGGTGGACAGCTTCAGACTATACCAAGGTATCACCCAACCACCTCCACAGGTAACACACTGAAGGGGCAAACTCAGCAGGCACCAGAGCCCCACTGAAGTTAAGTCCCGCTCTGTGGGGTCAACCCCTGCACAGCTGATCTCCACTGTAGTGGCAGCCAGTCCTCACAGCCAGTTAGCTTTGTGGTAAATCCTTCCCTTTGGGGTTGCCAGCAGCAATCAAGGCTCAACTACAAAGGAGGGTACACAGAGTCCACATTGGGGGTTTGCCTGGAATGCCCAGTAGGGTGATTGGGGAGGCTGTGCCACTGGGCCTTACAGGACACTTACAACATAATGACACTCTACCAAGCTCAGGAGACCTAGCAGCTCTACCTAATTCATGAAAACAAACACAGAGGGGCTGCCAAAATGAGAAGAAGAAAAACAAATGTCCCGAATGAAAGAATAGAACAGAACTCCAGGAAAAGAACTAAACAACTGGAGATAAGCAATCTACCAGATGCAGGGTTCAAAACACTGGTTGTAAGGATGCTCAATGAATTCAGGAGAAAAGTAGATGAACTTAGTGAGAACTTCAACAAAGAGATAGGGAACATAAAAATGGAGGTAGAAAACATAAAAAAGAATCAATCAGACATGAAGAATATATTAACTGAAATAGAGAATACATTATAGGGAATCAACAGGAGAGTAAATGAAGCAGAGGATCAAATCAGATTTTGGGAAGATAAGGAAGCAGAAAACATGAATCAGAAAATCAAAAAGAAAAAGGAATCCAAAAAAAAAATGAAGATGGGCCCTGGCCGGTTTGGCTCAGCGGTTCGGCCTGCGGTCCCGAGAGACCCGGGTTCGGTTCCCACTAAGGGCACGTACCTCGGTTGCAGTTTGTCCCTGGCCCTGGTTGGTCGTGCGGGTGGCAGCCACTCGATGTGTCCCTTCACGTCGATGTTTCTCTCTCTCTCTCTTCCTGTCTCTCCCTCCCACTCTATCTGAACAAAAAATGTCCTCGGGTGAGGATAAAAAAAAAAAAATGAAGATGGTATAAGGAGCCTCTGGGACAATGTAAAGCATAATAAAATTCACATTATGGGATTACCAAGAGAAGAGAGAGAGCAAGAAATTGAAAACCTATTTGAAAAAATAGTGACAGAAAACTTTCTTTACCTGGTGAAGGAAATAGATACAAGTCTAGAAAGCATGGAGAGTCCCAAATAAGATGAACCCAAAGAGGCCCACAAAAAGACACATCATAATTAAAATGCCAAAGGTTAGCCCTGGCCAGTTTGTCTCAGCGGTTGGGGCGCTAGCCCTCGGACTAAAGGGTCACAGGTTCAATCCCCGGGGTCATGTGGGAGGCAACCAATCAATGTGTCTCTTTCACATCGATGATGTTTCCCTCTCCCCCTCTCTCCCTTCCACTCTCTCTAAAAATCAATGAAAAAATATCCTAGAGTGAGGATTAACAACAACAACAAAAAATGCCAAAGGTTAGAAACAAAGAGAGACACATAAGCAGCAAGAGTAAAGCAGTTAGTTGCCTACAAGGGAGCTCCCATAAGGCTGTCAGCTGATTTCTCAACAGAAACTTTGTAGGCCAGAAGGGATTGGCACAAAATAGTCAAAGTGATGAAAAGCAAGGACCTACAACCAAGATTACTCTACCCAGCAAAGCCATCATTTAGAATTAAAGGACAGGTAAAGAGCTTCCCAGACAAGAAAAAGCTGAAGGAGTTCATGACTACAAAACCAGTATCACAAGAAATGTTGAAAGATATTCTTTGTTTTTTTCCTTATGGATTCTAGAGAGAGAGGAAGGGAGAGGGAGAGAGAGATAGAAACATCAACCAGAGAGAACATTGATTGGCTGCCTACTGCATGCCCCCCACTGGGGATGGGGCCCACAACCTGGGCATGTGCCCTAAATGGGAATTGAACTGGCAACCTCTCGGTGAATGGGTCAATGCTCAACCAGTGAGCCACACAGGCCAGGCAAAAGGTATTCTTTAAGAAAAAGATGAAAATGTGAATAATAAAATGGCAATAAATGTATATCTATCAACAATTACTTTAAATGCAAATGGTTTAAATGCTCCAATCAAAACATTATATGGAGGCTGAATAGATAACAAAACAAGACTGTTACAAATGCTATCTCCAAGAGACTCACTTCAGATCAAAAGACACACAAAATTAAAGGGATGAAAAACAATATTTAATTGAAATGAAAACAAACAAAAAAATACTGGGGTAGCAATACTTACACCAGACAAAACAGTAAAACAAAGGCTATATAACAAGAGAAAAAGAAGGACCCAGCAATTCCACTTCTGGGTATTTATCCAAAGAAACCTAAAACACTAAGTTGAAAAGACATATATATCCACATGTTTGTTGCAGCATTATTTACAATAGCCAAGATATGGAAGCAACCTAAGTGTCCATCAGTAGATGAAATGATTAAGTGGCGCATATATACAAGGGAATAAGACTCAGCCATAAAAAGAATGAAATCTTGCCATCTGCAACAACATGGATGGACCTAGAGGG